CTACCGGACAGTCAGCTTAGCTGCACTTGACCTATTTCAGGTCACAGGGAGACCCTGTCTCAATAAACATGAGTGAGGTCTGAGGAATGATATCTAAAGTTGTCCTCAATACACGTGAACACATGTGCACACACATAGTGTGAGCATTTGCATGGGGTTCGACAATTAGAAGGGCTACAACTGGCAAGAATGCAAATCCACGATTGGGAAACAGTACACATTTATTTGAGAGGTACCAAGGTGACTTAGAATCTGGTTTAAAGCCATTCAAGACTGGTACATGGTGCTGCCTACGAGCCATAAGTTAGAAAGAAGGAAGGAAAAGTCATGTTGGGATAGTGTGAGTCTGAGAGGGATTCACAAGAGGTTGGAAATGAAGTCCCATTATAACATAGTATATTAAGGAAGAAAATGGCATGGGGCGGTGTTATACAGAGAGGCAGATATGTTATTTCAAAACAGGAATTACACTATGGTCGCAGTTAGTGAACAATGATTGCCATAAAATGAAATGCCATGAAACTAAAGGATAAATGCTGGAAAGCCAAAAGCAACAGCAAAACAGAATGTGGGGAGGGGGATTCTAAGAAGTAGGGGTCAGCCAGGTGGTGGTGGTGCACACCTTTAATTCCAGCACTCATGACACAGAGGCAGGAGGATCTCTGTGAGTTCAAGACTAGCTTGGTCTACAAGAGCTTTTTCCAGGACAGCCTCCAAAGCCACAGAGAAACCCTGTCTCAATCCCTCTCCCAAAGCAAAGGAAGAAGAAGAAAAATGGGGTCTTAGGAATTATGTATGGGTGACAGGCAATCTGAGAGGAAAACAGCAATGTATGTCTCTTGCCTCCATTTTTCAAAAGTCTAGAAGAATGCCTGACACAAACCCATCCTACATGTGTACTTGATGGAGAAGATAAAGTCTTCGCCGAATATTGAATAGATGCTAAGAAGAGAGACTTGGGAGCCTGGTCCAGCTATGGGAAGAGATCAAAGAAAGAAGGTGGTGAATATTCTAGGGAGGCAGCTTAAAAAGTGGACATACAGCTCATCATGGCACAGCAAGAGGTTATGGTGAGAAGAAGAAACAGACAGACACAGGGTTGGAGGAGGGCGGTGGAAAGAGGTGCCAGGCATGTAAATACATTCCTGTTTGCAGGATGTAGGGTGCTGATCCTGGGAAAACAGGAACACTACGTGGGAACAAAGGCAGACATAGACACCTGAAGACCAAAGAGAAGAAGAAGATGGAAGGAGATTTTCCTCTCCCCAAGAGCCTGTTTCCTAAACAGAGATTAGGTTCTAAGCAATGAACAGAGAGCCCAAGGCTTCAAAGACAGCCAGGATGCCTTCTCCCCAGCCAAAAGTAAAATCAGAAGCCCTACTCTGAAGACGACAGCAAGCCCAGGCCTTCCAAGGAATGAGTTTACTGCAGCCCACAAGGTTCACAAAGGTAATCCAGGCCCCAGTGTTGCTATGCACACATTTTATCATCTCCCTAGTGATCCATTTGGACAGGTCAGTTCTGTCTCATTCTGTAAGACATAGCCCAAGACCCTCAGTTTCTAGTACTTTAAAGAATTATGGAATCTTTACACAAATAACAGGAAGATTATTAGGCTCAGGCTGGGTACACAGCACCAAGTAGGTGCATCTTCATTCAGGTCTTTCAGAATCCCTGGAAAAGCTGAATCAATTCAGAATGAAGACAATGTCAAATGCAGAGCATTTGCTGGGAACATAAGCCAGGGGATGCAAGCATCTGATAAGGTGTTGGAACCAGGTGATCTTTAAATATCCTTGCAGCCTGACATGTGATGAAAAATGCTGTGGACTAGATTGAAGACAGATAGAAAGTGAGAAGCAAGGAGCCAACCAGCATCCTAATCACTCTGGTCGGAAAGGTCCCATGACTCATGGTAAACACAAGAATAAAGGCGGGGGGAATCACTCCATACTTAACCCATTGCTAGAGAGGCTGGAGAGTGATGCCTGCAGCTTTAGGAAGCTCTAAATTCCCTACAACTTCTTCCCAAGTGACACATGCTAAAATGGGACAAGGGAGGGAATTGGGTGGAGGAAGCCCTGGGAACCTCTGTATGAATAATTTGTTCTCTTAATTCCCTGCTTCTTGCTATCCTTCCAAAGGAGTGACCCCTGTAGATGCTCCTGTCTATTAATGTGTCAAAGCACATGTGGCTTTAACTATTATAATGGCATCTCATTGTACATGACACTGTGTCATAGAGTTAGTTCCTTGGCCTGATGAAACCTTGGGAAGGAGATACCCCACTGCCTCTCAGTCTTCCTGTCCCTGCCCGTGTGAGTCACAGGAAAATTAGCCAAATACCGTTATAATGCTCCTGCAAAGTACTTATCGTGCCACATGTGTCTTCTGAAAATAATTCATTACCCGCTGTCTATTGATAGGGCAAAATGGACCTGCTGCATGAAAAAGATACCTTTCCTACTGTCAAAGGGCTTGGACAGTTGGAGTCAACCTGTGAGCTTCTTGTGATAAGGCTTTGTTTGCTCCCCTCCAACTTCAAGTCTGCCAATAAACCTAGAATCCCCACTATCCACTACTTGCTTACACAGAAGCAGTCTGGCTCCCTAGATGGCTGTGTTGGCTCACACACCAGAAAAAGCTCCTTCTGCTCTGCATGCTCCAGGTTTTCCTGGTATGATGGTCCCTTGGCTTCGAGATTGTTCCCTGACATCCAAAGACACATATTTAGTCCCAGAGCTTTGCCCAAAGCTCTCTAGTTCCCAGGAGAAAAAGATCCTGATGTCTCAGAAGAGACTTCACTTCCTCCCATATGACACAGTCACCCTTGTCTTACAGGTGTGCAGATGGCATGGTACTCAAAGCTTCAGTGAACACATATGACCCTAGGATCAGAGACTCTGCACCAAGCACCCATGGCATCCCCTAAGAGCATGAAGTGTTGCTCATCAGTCAAGATTCTGTACTTGGGAGTGTGCCTGGTCATTAAAGCTCATTTACACTCCAGAAACCATCACGTCTAAACAAACATTTCCAGTAGAGGCGGCACAGGGCAATACTTGTGTGTCTACACTCATATGTATATGTACACTTTCAATTGGCAGGTGAAAAAGTTTATGTTTATCACATGCAACATAGTTTAAAATTATTGTTCCAATTTTCATATCATAAACAAGGGCACTCTTTGAATAGTCTATTCTAGACCACTTTTCTTTTTCACATTTGGTGCTTTTTGTTCTTTTTGTTAGTAATTTTGCTCTAAAATGGCTTCCAAGCATAGCTCTGAAATGCTATTCCATGACTCCAAACACAAGGTATTTGCCATGTGTCTTATAGAGAAGAATGTGTACAAGATGGGTGTTTGATCAGCTGTTAGCTGAGTCGCATGTGCATGAGTCGGTCATACATGTTAACCAAGATGTTTGTGAACATAATTACACATACAGTATGAAAGACTGTGTACAGGTTAGCTGATAAAATATTGCAAGCAGGGAGGCTCAAAGAAACCTAACACTGCATTTTCTCTAGGAGCAAGGGTTCAGGGTTTTCTAATTCACCATCCACATGGACTTTATGGAAAAGAACTACCTCAAACAGCAAGAATAACATATGTATTCAACAGCAGTGGCCAAAGAACACTGCAGAAGAGTGTCCTTCCTGCCTATCCCTACTCAGGGGACAAGCCTGACCTCAGACAAGCACTCAGACATACCTCACACTGTATATCTGAAAACTTATCTTTTCCCTATGGCCAACTTGATCTCAAACCCAGTTATCCTTTGTATGACCCTCACAGGAAGTCTCTGAAAACAACTGGTGCAGATCCTACATATGGAGGCAAATGATGGTCTCAGCTGACACAAACCCAACCCTTCTCTCTGTGGTAACGCTCACTAAATAATCTCAGAGCCAGAGAAATGGAAGCAAAGGCTGATGGGATGACCCAAGACCTACTCTGCTGCTGGAAACCCCAGCAGGAGCAGCAAGAGTTATGAGCTTTGAAGAGTATGACCCAAGTACAGAGATGAGCAGGGAATGAACAAGATGAGAATATACCTTTTCCTAGAACTACCCCAGATGAATGGAGACATGAAAAAACTGGTGGGAATCCTGGGGGCTGGAATTGGGGCGCTTACAACCTTTGCTATTCTGTCTGTATGGTGAGGCCTCTCCCTAACAGGTTGCTTTGACCCCTTCCTGGTGTCCCTGCTCCCTGGTGGTATCTCTGAACTCTCCTGAGCAGTGTATCATTCCCTAGGAGGCAGGAGCAGTGTGAAGGGGGAGACACTGTGCATTCGTATCAAGGGGCCCATTGAGCCTGGGGTGTAGGAAGGAGTATAATGTTGACTGGAGGAACCAGCCACCCCAGCTCTCAGGAGCTGAGAGGGAACCTAGCAGGGCTCAGAAGAAACACAAAGAGAGTGGCTGCCACCAACAGGAGGTGAGAGACATGAGGAAATAGGTGCCCTGTGACTTAGGAATTGGGGCGGGGAGTGGGGGGGGGGGATTCCTAGAGCTTGGGTTGGAATGTTCCCAGGGGAGTACATATTTGGGGGCTGGACTGGGCAGCTAGAGAGACATTTCTGTTCAAATGTACTCACTTCCCTTTGCTCCCTCCCCCTCCCAAGGAGGCTTCCGATGACCTCAGAGGCTGCTGTGTAGACAGAGCCAGGCCCTGTGCTCCAGCAGCTAGGCTGGGTCTTTAGAGGGGATCAGCCTCTTTCATATACAGGAGCACCTCTCCCTACTCATGGCTATGCTGAGCTAGATGCATAAAATAGGGAGTTAAACTTTGACCTACAGCCACCCCTTCCTCGGGGACTCTGTCCACTGGCATATTCTTGCCCAGGCTATTCTCTGTACTTAAAGACAAAGAGGGAGGGTCTCCTAGAAAGTGGAAGGTTACCCTAGAAGGTTCCAGAACCCCAACAACATGGTTTGCTTCCATACCACCCCCTACAAAAAAAAAAGGGACAGTATCCAATCCTATTACTTACATGTGTCTGGCTTGTGGCAATTGTGTCCCTGGCGGAAGTACTGGGGGTTCTCAATGACTGGAATGCGGGTCATGCCAATGACAACTGTGTCGGGTCCAGCATCCAGAGAGGAGGGTGTGGTGATGCCATGGTTGATGTGGTGCAGTGGGCTGGCTGAGTCCTCCTCGCCACTGATGACAGCCACAGGACCTGCAGAAACCATGAGAGACACAGGACCTAGTGAGGTCACATCCGTTCAGTACCAGCCCTATCTACACACCCTTCACTGTTTTACCACCACATTTTCTCAGAGGAGTCCAGTCCATTTGACAAGTATTGCCCGAATTCCTGAATTCTAATGATACAAAACTCCAGCCAAATTCTATTTCTTGAAAATAACTGTCTCTCAATCGTAGAAATTATTCCAAAATAAAAAAGAGTTGAAATAACCACTACATGAATCATTTTTAATTTCTCCCCAAGCCCAAATTAGCTCAGAATAATAAACTCGTGTTTCTTTGTTTATGCAGCAGTGACAAGACTTTTAAAAAAAGAACCTAGAAGTAGCTGCTCCTCTCTGTCCCTCCTCTACTTGGAGCACTAAAAATGATGATTGAAGAGCTGGGGAGAGCCTCAGGTGGTGAGGTCCTTGCCTCCCAAGCATAAGGATCTGAGTTATGTCCCCAGCACCCACACAAAACACCAGGTATGGAGGTCCACACTGTGGTCCCAGTCCTGGGTAGGCAGATCAAAGAGGATGCCTAACATTTATTGGCTATCTATAGAGCTCCAGCTGTAGCAAGAAACCATGTTTAGGCAGGGCAGTGGTGACACACACCTTTAATCCCAGCAATTGGGAGGCAGAGGCAGAGGCAGGCAGATCTATATGACTTCAAGGCCAGCCTGGTCTACCAGATACACAAAGAAACTCTGTCTTGGAAAACAAAACAAAGAAAAAGAAACCATGTGTAAAGAAATTAAGGTAGAAAGTAACTGAGGAAGAACCCAATGTCAACATCTCACCTACATATATATGATCACAAGTACAGAGAGAGAGAGACAGAGAGAGAGGAATAGAGAGACAGAGAGAGAGAGAGGGAGGGAGGGAGAGGGAGAGAGAGAGAGACAGGTAGACAGACAGACAGACAGAATGCACACACATGTATATAAAACCATAGAGTTTCACCCCAGAAATAGTCTGGGATGCATGTGAGCATTAAGATTCTAAATGATCTCCTTGTGGTTTTTGTGAACACCCAGGACTCAGAACCTATGATTAGGAAATTGGAGGCCCCATGGCCTTTAGCATTGCCATCAAATTTCCAGAGGTGCATGATATGGCTTCCAATTGACTCAACCATAACCTTCCTTTACTCAGTGTTGCCCCGAGCCTCACCTAAGCCATGTTTTACAAGTGATAGTAATTAGTTAATAGTAATTGGTAGTAGTTGGGATGGCTGTCCCACTCTTGAAACGTCCACATTGTCTTACTGCCTACAAAGCATTCTCCCCATTTTCCAACCCTAAGACAAAACTCAGTGAGTAAGGTGACTCAGAAGCGCAAGTTGACAGAGATAATTAATGTTGCAGACTTAGCAGAGCAATGATTGTGTTTGGTGGTGTATTTCGCCTGTGCATACAAATAAAAGCCCTGTAAAGGGAATTAGCTGTGACTGTTTGTGGCTTCCTACAACTAGTGTTTTAAATGGCTGCTTTGCTAGACACAGGGTCCCCAGACAAAGTGCCTGCTGTGATTTGGTTTTGCGGCTTGAACAATATTTCCACTGCAGAAATCCATTACATCTTCCTGAAGTTTATGGAGAGAATATTTCCCATCAAACAGCGAGGTGAAGCGCCAATGAGGCAGAACTAAATGGAAGACTGGTAAATGCAAACGGCGGACCCTGGATTCCACTCCGTCAGCACAGGCAGGCTTATTCCAACCCGTGACAAATGGCTGCTGGTGTCTAGAGACCGTGTGCAAAAGTGGCAATAAGTGGTTGCCCAAATGCCCAGAGTAATCACCTGTCTTGCAAAAAGGAGTGTGGTCCTGAAAACACTTTCCTCAGAAACTCATTGAGAAACTTTCATAGTGACTTGCAGTGAAATGAGGAACACTAAGCCCTCGCATTAGCCACTGCCCAAAGCATCCTGATAATACAAAAGAACTGAAGAAATATTAGTGCACTAAGAGGAAGAGAAGAGAATAAACAAGACATTTCAAAAACATTTGGGAAGTTGAAAAACACATCAAAGCGGAGCAGTGACTCAGAACAAAACAAGAGAGCCCCGGTGGCGTGTGACTTGTTGGGAGCGTGCATGCCAGGAGGAGTAGGGCATGCAGGAGAGCTCAGGATATGAGGGATATGGTGCACAGGAAGATGGCAGGGAGGCCCATGCCTCAACAAGACACCTGAGTCCACAGCCTTGTCCCCATTCCACAAGAGGAGGGGTTTATTCCTACAGAAGTTGACTTAAAGACACAGGAGAGGGTTTGGATGAAGCACGGAGCTGAGCCCTTTCTTCCTGCATCTAGAACAATCACATTTGTGCACAACCTGCCTACCATTTCCCAATAGTCCCTCATCCCGGTACTAGAGGGTGTGAGAAGACGCTTCCAAGGAGAAAAGCAGAAAGGAGGCTTCCAGATGCTGACATTTTTGCTTTTCCTGATGAAAAACCACCCTGGAATCATTTCACAGTGAGGTTGACAGTGTGCATGACAACTGCATGCACACAACGTGGAATCCTTTCAGATTTCCAGAGCTCAGTTCCTAAATATAAAGAGACAGTGATGCGTTCAAGACCACCAGATAGCTCAGAAGAGTTACTGCACAAAGAAAGCAAGACCAGCACTTGGGGGCCTGCAGGAAACAGAGGCAAGTTATGAAGAAGACTCAGAAAACCAATACAAAAACCAATAGACTCAAAGGGGCAAATATAACATCCCAGCTATAAAACAAAGCAATACGTAAGAAGTGAACAATTTAAGGTAAGAAAGGGTCTCTGAGAATGTCCATCATCAATGTTTTAAAGTCAATGATGAGTTCAAGAAGACAAGAAATTCTTCCTAAAATCAAACTGTAACAAACCATGGATCACAAGAAGGAGATGAGAACCCAAAGTCTCCTATCCATCTCTTTCTTTTTTAAGCATTATGGGATGTGGGTTACTATAATGAAATGGAATAATACACAGTGTTGGGGGAAGATGTAGCACTGGGACTTTAACCTCTTTGATCTGTGTCTTAAAAGTTCCTGGGGAATGACAAATCAATAAAATTTTATTTCTAAGAGGTTGTGACCTAAAACAGTTAAAACTTATCTTTGCATTGTTTTAGATTTTGAAAAGGTTGAAGTAATAGTTGTGGGGAAAAGACTCCCAATGCCTGGGAAGGAAGAGTTCATCTAAGGAAATTGCAGAGAAACAAAACAGTAAGCCCTACTGTAGAACCCTGAAAGACCCCAACACTTAAACATGAACCTTGGAAAGGAAGCAGAAGAAATAGTCAGAAAGTAGAAAAGAACCAGAAAAATACATGGCTTTAGAAGCCAAAAAGGAACATCTAGGAGTTCAACAGAATCTGCCCAGAGGGCAAATAGGATAAGCAATGAGAAGGAAGATAGAGATGGCTTAGTGGTTAAGAGCACCAACGATTCTTCCATAGGACCTAGGTTCAATTCCCAGTACCCGCATGCTGGCTCACAACCTGTAACTCCAGTTCCAGAACATCCAGTACCCTCTTGTGGCCTCCGAGTACAACAGTCACATACACAGTACACAAGTACACATGAAGGCAACACAACCATGCATATAAAATAAAATACAATAAATAAAAACATAAGATAAAAATGAAGGCTGAAAACTGGCATTTGAAAATGAGGAGGTTGGCCTTACAGAGATGAGTGTCACAGACAGAATAAAGGAAAGGGCTAAGCTCTGGTGAGTTGGAGAAATTTCCAGGCTTTTAACTAGTCTTCCCAAGTATCAAGTTCTATTATCGTAGCTCTTTTAATCTTGGAACACCTCTTCGAGGTTGCTGGCATTATTGTCCCCATTTTAAAGATGGAGGTATAAAGGCATAGAGCAATGACTTGTTCCAAGTCAAACCCCACAAAGAAGCAGTGAGAGAATTCACACTCATAGCTTAGCGCCGAGACCAGTGCTCAGAACGTCACCTGGCACTGCCAGGTACAAGAGAAGAGTGTGGGGAATGTACTGCTCAAAGGGACACATGCTGAATTCTGGCTCACTATCCTTCCCGTGAGCAGCTGCCTTTGATGGCAAGAGCTTGAGACAACTTTGAAAGGTATTGCTCTTGACCCGGAGAACTGGGAGAAAACTGAGTCACCTCATTAGACTCACCCAGGGAGACTGCAGATAATTCGTCTATGCATCTTACCAGCACTGCCAAATATTCGTATTCAACTATGTCCACAACCAGAGTAGAACATGGAAGCATCAGACCATTGTCCACTACCCAAAGTCACCTTAGTCATCCTAACTCTAAAATAAAAGCCGATAAACTGCCCATACAACCATCATCCCTAAGCATGGGAAAGAAGACTCTTGTCTTCCCTGCCTGCAAGTGGCTGAAACCAGTGATCTCTATAGGACTGGTGCAACATAGGGCCCATGTGGAGATTATTGTTGTGAGTCCACAGCATCCCTGGTCTTGGGTAAAGAAGGTGAGTTTATACTGGAAATGGTATGCATACATGCGGTCACAGGTAATAAGCAAAACCTGTGTGTCTTACACTCAATGTTGTAAGCCCAAAGCTGCTGTAAGGGTGGGAGAAGATAATAATTTTTAAACAGCTAAATGTTTTTTAACATCCGTCTCTAACCCAAGAGAGTTGTATGTACTTCAATGTATGAAGTGCTTGCCTACCATATGCAAGGCCTGGTTTTGGTCCTCAGCACTGCAAACCAAACAAAAATCTCTCAACCAGGCACCATGGTACATCCCTATAACACCAGCACTGGGGAGGCAAATAGGAGGATTGAGAGTTTCAGACAGTCCGGGCTACAAAATGAGACCATGTCTCAAAATAGAATTTAAAGAGAAGAGGTCAGGGTTAGTGGTAGAGCACTTGCCCAGCACAAGAGACTCTTTAGTCCCCAGCACCACAGAAACTAAGGTCTCCCTGCCCTATGCAAACATATTTATAATCACTCTTCCTTCCGGTACTAGGTTAGGGCTCATGGGT